CATTTATTTTCTAGAGTCTACAACAGTGCCTGGCTCATTTCGATTTTCAGTGGCTAATGGAGTCCTGGTGTGGCGCTGTGGGTTAATGCACCAGACTGCAAGGTCAGTTTGAACTGCAAGATCGGTGGTTCAAATTCACTCCTTGGAAATCCTAATCCTATACAGGATTGTATTGGAACCGACCTGAAGGCACTTAACAATAACAACAACAACAATGTATAAATAGGAGCTCTGGTAACAGCGTAGTGGTTAGGCGTTGGGCTGCTAACCTCAAGGTCAGCTAGTTCGAAACTACCAGCAGTTCCGCGGGAGAAAGATGAGGCTTTCTGCTCCTATAAAGATTTATAGCTTCAGAAACATATACAGACAGGGTCGCTATGAGTCGGAACCAACTCTGTGGCACACCACCACCATCACCACCACCACCATCAACAGAGTCCTGGTGTGGCGCTGTGGATTAAAGCACTGGACTGCAAGGTTAATTTGAACTGCAAGGCCAGCAGTTGAAGCTTACCAGCCACTCCTTGGGAACCCTATACAGGGTCACTGTGAATTGGAATAGACCTGAAGGCATACAACAACAACAACAATGTATGCACAGGAGCTCTGGTAGCGTAGTGGTTATGAGTTGGAATGTTAACCATAAGGTCAGTAGTTTGAAGACACCAGCTGTTCTGCAAGAGATAGATGAGGCTTTCTGCTCCCATAAAGATATACAGCCTCGGAAACCCTGTACAGGGTCGTCATGAGTCAGAACCGACTGGACAGCACATAACCACCACTACCAATGTATAAATGAATGGCAATTTCTTTTGACGAGGACCCCTTCTGGTGTGCTCTGACTTGGACGATTTGCTACCCACAAGCATTTCTTTGTCACTCTCATCACGTCCTATTGGTGCTAAGATGACTTTAAGCCAAGCAGTTGCAACATGAGAGGGCTAAGTGAATGGCATGAACCGTGGTGTAATTAGACCAGTTTTTGACAAAAGAATCAAACAAATTCTTCCAAGTAAGGTTTGCATGTAGACTTAGAGGCAGGTTGCAGACATCTGCCGGTGATGTTACCATGCCTAGCCTCTTCTGGAAAGGAATGAGTAACTGTTGAGAATAAAAGGTTTGCATCTGTCTTTTCAGTAAAATGTCACCCAGCCCTTTACCTGGCTGGTATTTAGGTGGGTTGGGACACATCATTGGAGAAGCGAATTTTCCTTCCTGCTGGCAGGAGGAAGAAGTAGACTGCCAGAAACAGAACTAACTGGTGAATGCCTCATGGGTGCAGGAAGGCTGAGCAGTGATGCCCTCTAGCCTGGTGAAGCTCCTGTTGTTGCCAGGCCTGCACAGGGACACCCTGGGTCTCGCTACCTCAGATCCAAACCCCTAAGGTCCCAGTATTTGTGCAGCCTGTCAGTGCTGAAAGTGTACATAGAAAACCAGTTCCAGTTGAGAAAAGATCACTTAATGGAGTCCTGGTGTGGCGCTGTGGGTTAATGCACTGGACTGCAAAGTCAGTTTGAACCACAAGGTCGGCGGTTCAAGCTCACCAGCCGCTCCTCAGACACCCTATACAGGGTCATTACGGGTTAGAACTGACTTGATGGCACTTAACAGCATAGTGCATAAAGTAGACTCACTTCTAGTCTCTAATGAAGAGCAAAGAGCTGCATTATAACCACAGCATCGTTAAGTTCTCCGGTTTGATGTTTTCTGTCTTCCAGGGTGACCTGAAATCTAACCTGCCTGGGTCTCATCTTTCTCATTTAGGAGAGTAGAACATATTTTCAACTAGCTTTATTTTTCCTTTCAGATAAATTGTGAAAATAATGTATGTATCAGAAAGAACTGGTTGATGTTCAACCATTTCAGGAGGTAGTAGATGATCAAGAACCAGTGGTATTGAAGGAAAAAGTGCAAATTGCACTGAAAACATTGGCAAAAAACAAGTTCCAGGAATTGATGGAATGCCAATTGAGATGTCTCAACAAACTGATACAATGCTGTAAGTGTCCACTTGCCTATGCCAAGAAATTTGGAAAAGAACTACCTGACCAAACTGATTGGAAGAGATCCATATTTATGCCCATTCTAAAGAAAGATAACCCAATGGAATGTGTAAATGATCAAACACTGTCATTAATATAACACACAAATAATTTTTTCCTGAAGATAATTAAAAAATTATTGCAGCAGAACATAGTCAGGGAACTACTAGAAACTGAAGCCAGAATCAAAAGACAATGTAGAATGAAAGATATCATGGCTGACACCCCATGGATCTTGACAGAAAACAGAGAATACCAGAAAGAGATTTACCTGTTTTTTATTTACTGCACAAAGGCATTTGACTGCAGATCATGACAAATTAAGGATAACATTGTGAAGAATGGGAACTCCAGTACATAGACAAAGAGGCAGGCAGTCATTCCAACAGAACAAGGGGACACTGAATGGTTTAAAATCAGAAAAGGTGTGCAACAGGCTTGTAGCCTTTCACCATAGTTACTCCATCTGAGCAAACAGAGAAGCTAGACTATATGAAGAGGAATGTGGCATCAAGATTGGAGAAGGCGCAAACGACACAACTTTTTTGCTGAAAGTGAAGAGAAGACTTGAAACACTTACTGATGAAGATCACAGATCTTCCGTATGAATTAGGCTTCAAGGACCTTTATAATTCGACCAATAAGCAACATCATGTAAGTGGAAAAAAAGCTGAAGTTGTCAAGGGTTTCATTTTACCGGGTTTCATAATCAATGCCCATGGAAGCGGCAGTGAAGAAATCAAAGGACATATTGCATGGGCAAATCTGCTGCAGAAGACCTCTTTCAAGATCAAAGATGTCATTTTAAGTGTACCTGATCTATGCCATGGTGTTTTCCGTCACCTCGTATACATGTGAAAGTTTGAACAATGAATAAGGAAGACCAGAGAAGAATTAATGCCTTTGAATTATGGTGTTGGAAAATAGTGAACATACCATGAACTTCCAAAAGAGCAAACAAATCTGTCTTGGCAGATATGCGAGTAGAATACTCCTTAGAAGCAAAGACAGCGAGACTTCATCCTACAGACTTTGGACATGTTACCCGAGGGGACTTGTCCCTAGAGAAGGACATCCTGCATAGGAAAGTAGAAGGTCAACAAGAACGCGGTGGACTGACACAGTGGGTTCAAACTTAGCAACGATTTTGAGGATGGTACAGGGCCAAACGCTGTTTTTATTCTGTTTTACAGAACTGTATAGTGTGTAGAGTCAAGCTATGAGTCAGAACCAACCCAATGACACCTGACGGCACCATAACAGCACTGTATGTAGGAAGTGATGAATATAGAAATGTACTGCATTTTCGTTATAGATATGTCATTTTGCGCTGTCTAATCAGAGAAATAGTTGGGAGGCCAGGTGGTGGTTCCTGAAGTGTTGAACATCAGGGCTGGGATTCTAGCTCCTGTGCTCTGTGATTTTTGGCAAGCCACTTAAACTGTGGAAACCCCAACTTAGTGTTTTCTAAAGTGTGGACTGTATTGTTGATCTTACACAAGTGTGATGAAGAGCTGATATATATATATATACTCTCATGTATATACATATATACTTGCATATATATATATGCAAGTATATATGTATATACACAAGAGTACTTTGAAGATCTACAAGTGTAACATATTATCAGCTAGTTCTTTGCAAGGACTAAGGCAGAGGAAAGGGTGCCTTTGATGTTTAATTAATACTAAATATCTTCCATTAAATTTGTTTAGCTATAATTGGAGAAGGGGGAGGATAAGAATACTTTTCAAAGGGACTCTTTCTGCACCAAAAATAGAACCCAGAAAGCACATATTTGATTTTCCTTCTGGCATCACACCACACAGCCCTTGTTATTAGCAGTTTTGCAGAATTGTGACCTTCCAACTTGGTGATAGCTGAGAGTAAAAGAAACCACCAGCTATCCGGGTATTTCCAAAAGCTTTTCTAACTAAAGCAGTTTTATTTGGAATTAAAGTCTAATTGAATTGTCCTCCTAAATGAACACTAACAAGTTTAAAGCTTGTCTCCCATGGGAGTTGCAGGCACTGAGAGGGTGCTGAAAGTTCTTTTGGAGCGAAGGAGGGGCTTTATGGAATAATACCCTTTCCCCACTTATAAAAGAGAAACCTAGAGCTTCCAAATCCCCTCATCACACCAGCTGATTTGTGTATAAATCTAGGAACGTCATTTACTTTCAGTTTACTGAATTTGTGAATTTTCCAATTCGTTTTCATTTGTAATTAAGTTTTCTCTATGAATCGCTCCATATGCTACCATTAATTGTTTCTCCTTGATTTCTTAGGAGATACACGAGTGCATATTTTAATGTAATTTTGGAGGTCTTTTGAAAATCAAATGACTACGTGTTTAGCCATATGGGGTTTTGTTATTTAAAATAGCATATTAGAAAAGTTAAGAGAAAGCAAAAAATGCAAAAGGACTTGTGTGTGTGGGGGGGGGATCATTGGGAAACTGTTTAAAACATTATTCTAAAGACGTACATTTTCAACCTTTTTTTTAAAAAAAATGCGTAGTATTTTTGAAGTCTCCCTTACTGTCTCTTCTTTTCTGTGATGGACAATCTTCCAAGTGCTCCCGGCCAGCGGAGGCTCCTGCCCTGGACTTTACTGTGGGGCTGCGGATATTAGCATATGCTTCTGGGGGCCCAATTGCCACCACCCCCCATGCTTTTTCTTTAACATCCTATGTCAGGATTTGACATTGAGCTTTCATTCCTCTGCATTCACCTTGGCCGCTTTGAAAGGGGTCAGCGGGGGTGCACAGTGCCCCCGGGCCGCCTGCGGTAGGTGCGGGCTGCAGTCCCGGCCGCCGGTTGGCGCGGAGAGCGCTAGGACCCAGCGGGGCTCCGGGTCGGGTGGGAGCCGCGCCGCCGACCCCGGACAAGCGCTGGGCTCTAGAGCCGGGGTTCCGGACGCGATCGGCTGCAGCTCCGCAGAGAGACCGGGGAGCCGGCGGCGGCGGCCTCCCGCGAGTCCAGCGCCGCCGCAGCCCCCCAATGCAGCCGCGAGGAGCAGCGGGGGGGCAGCGATCGAAGGTAACGAACGTGGGGCTCATTTCCTGCCTCCCTCTTCTGCTGCGCGGGTGAAGCATTGTCAGGAAGCGCCCTCGGCGTGCAGACTGCTGCATTTTGGGGCACCCTTTGATTTTTTTTTTTTTTTTAAGGTGCCCGCCTCTGTATTTCCACTTGATTTCAGATTGCTGGACAGCCTGCAGCCTCAAGTGGGAAAAAGCCAGAGATGGCAAGTTGCTGATTTTCATTAGTTTGGGCTCAAAAGTAAGTTCATTAAAAAAAAAAAAAAAAGTTTCCCAGGAAATTGTGGATCGTCGTTTTAAAAAATGGTTGTTTTAACAAGGTCAGCCAGATGACTGGTCGAGAAGCGATCGGATAACGGATAGACTTGTGTCGAGGATTTTTTTCGGGCAGCTCTGTTATACATTACTTTTATTTTCAAAGAACTAATGTGTGAAATGTGGAGTTTAGCTGGGGCAGAGTTTACGGCGTGGCTGTTGCGACTGCTTTTGCTATCAATTAGAAACAGTGTCAGATCCGTGGGCAATGGAAACCTCTTTTCAAATGCTGTCTGATTATCCTGATGTGCCATGGATATGCGAGTTTTCGTGGAGGGGAGCGAGGGGGGGGGGAAATCTAACCCGGTATGGAGAAATTAGTATTAGGAGGAGAAAACCATGATTACGCCTCTCGCCAAGAGACTATTTTTCATGCTTTGTTTATACTCCAGGAATGACATTTGGGGCAGGAAAACCGCAGTCTTTCTCGGCAGCGTTTAATTGTGAGATTATTAATTTATTTTATTTATTCGTCTCCATTGGTTGGACTCGGGGAGCCCTCTGTCACACGCCGTGTGACACATTTGCTAGTGGTTGGGACACATGATTGCAAATGTAAAATGTGCTTCCGAAAGGTCTGCTCGGCTGGAATCTCCCATGTGGAGCGGGTTGTGGGCAGGGCGCGTCCGGCTCATTGAGGAAAAAGGGAATCGTTTTCCTTAGCTAAGGAAGACGTCCTATTATATTCCTTTTGTTCCCTGTTTTTCATTGATCGCCAGCTCTGCCTTAGAGAGGAGAGGAGCTGGAGAGTGGGTTGGGGGTGCAGAGCTGGGAAGACTGCTCCGGCGACTGGAGCCCCCACTTCTGCCCCTACCCTGATTGGTCAGTGAGGTTGAGACTTAGGAAAACAATCACCCAAAACCTTCCTTAAAAATCAAGCTGTCTTGCTCAGATTCGCCGCCGTCTGGTGCTCAGATTTCTGCAAGACTTGTATGTTTAAGTCCGGCGCCGCTACCTTTATTTTAAATCTGTTGTTGTTTGTAGTCAAATAAACTAGGCCATTTTTCGTGACAAATTTCTTTACAACCATCGGTGCCTAGCTTATGTTGATAGAACAGATAGCTTTATAACACGTCCCCAATTATTTGAGCTCATAAACTGGAGAGTGCAAAGTTCCTTAACTTAGAAGCATTCTTCCTGACCATTATTTTGTTTTGTGGGCATTTACAGATCACCATTGGCAGATGGATGCTTAACTGTATCCTTACTTTTTTTATAATTTAAATGGCTTATACAGGAGCATGTTTCACAGCCTAAATTTAAGTTTGACACGGAAAAGATAATGAACAAACGATCACAATCAGTTTAGAGATGATTAGAAGAAATTGTGGTATCTGGATTGAGGAGAATGCATTTCGTATCCAGTAAAAAGGGCATTTGTCAATGTCTTAGAATATGAAAAAGACCATAACGTGAAATGTTGTATCTCTAAAGCAGAACGTAAGGCCGGTGGACAGCTTCATTGGAGCCTTAAAGCCCCTCATTAAAGAAGCCCCAGTCCCAGAAGTTGTTCAACGTATAAACACTTTTCTGATTGGCTTAGGAATTTAGAGACAGGAAGTGGATGGTATCTAATAACTGAGGAGTGGAGACATGGTTGTCATGGAAACAGAGCAGAGTAACTCCACCCCCCCACACACATATACACACACAGCCGCCGTCACCACTTAGACAACAACAATAAGAAAGAAAAAAAAAAAAAAAGCCCTGTGCATTATCATAGACGCTTGGAGAATGCGTTTTTCCCTTTCCTACCGCATCTGTTGAAACCTGAGAATGCTTCCTGTCAAATCAAGGTCATTTAGCAACAACCAAAAATGCGCTGTCTCCCAGATTTCATGACTGTATTTGTACTGAAAGTAGATGACCAAAAATTACCTGAAAGCAAGCATGGGGTACACGTGCTTATTTAGCATGGTTATAGCTTGTGCTAAGAATGTGCCTGCGCACTTACTAGTGGAGTCCAGCTGATTTGCAGATCTGCTGTTCCAAGCCAAACTCTTTCTTAAAGCTGTGAAGACTAAACTGTTAAATATTGTGGAGAAATAGTCTTTGAGGGGAGGGTATAAATGGAGCTTGTTTTGTTTGCAAGTGGCCATTTGGGGAGTCTGCTCTGAAGCTAGCCTGTGTAAAGTTGTTGTTAGGTGCAGTCAGTTGGTTTCGACTGAAATCGACCCTGAATAAGGTTTCCAGAGCAACTGATGGGCTTGAACCGATAACCTTGCGATTAGCAGTCTAGTGGTTCTCCTACAGCGCCACTTCAAGACTCCTGTGTTGTTGTTGTTAAGCGCCATGGAGTTCGTCCGACTCATAGTGATCCCATATAGGGTTTCAGAGGAGCGACTGGTGAGTTTGAACTGCTGACCTTTTGGTTCAAAATGACCTTGCGATCCAGTGCTTTACCCTACAGCGCCTCTCCTGTGAGGCAGGGGTAAATGAAGACTGTCTGGGGCTTTGGAAAATGTTAGTGATGGTGTTTTCAATAGCTGAACAACATGAGGGAAAACCCCTGCATGGAATAAAGAACGGTTTCACAACTGCAATTCTTCAGCCAAGTTAGAAAAAGAGTGTTTCAAGTTTTGGGGTAATGGAGAGGCTCTCCAAATGACGGTGGCAGATGTTTCAAGTGTCTTTGTAATAGTGTCAGTAAAGGGCATAAAGAAAGGGGAAAGGTTTGCAGCCTCCGCAGCCCACCCCAAATCATTTTGCTAAGGGAAAAATAACCCTTGAATGTTGACGTTGATGATTATGGTCGAAGCTTATCAGTATAAAATTGAGGCATTTTCTTTTGCTTACCTACTTGTCAGTGGTAATCTTTACATTGTAAGTTCTCCTGGTGTGGTGCTGTGGGTTAATGAGCTGAACTGCAAAGCCGTTTGAACTGCAAGGTCGGTGGTTCAAGCTCACCAGTTGATCCTCGGAAACCCTATACAGGGTCGCTATGGGTTGGAACCGACTTGATGGCACTTTACAACAACAACAACAATATTCATTAAGTAATTTCTCCAATCATGGTGATTTGTAGTACTGTCATGCCGATGTGGGGCTGTAGGATAAGCAGTGGACTGCTAACCGTAAGGTTAGCGATTCAAACCTACCAGCCGCTCTCGGAAATACTATACAGGGTAGCTATGAGTTGGAACCAACTCGATGGGACTAACAACAACTACAACAACAATGCTGTATCTTAATGGAACATGGTCCAGTTTAAATCTTATTCTATTAACATGTTGATCTTAAACAACAACAACAACAAAAAACCTAGCAAACTTGACCTTGTTGTCGTCAACTAATTTCATGGGCACAGTGTGTGGGTGGAGGGGGTGGGCGTGGAAAGAGTTCTAACTATTTTAATGTTTCCTAAAATCCTGTATCTATGTCATGGGAAATACCAATTTTAGAAGGGATATAGCATCATTTAGAATCACGGTGTGGCTGGCACTGGACTGCTAACCACAAGGTTGGCAGTTCAAACCCACCAGCCGCTACATAGAAACCCTATACAAGGTTGCTATGAGTCAGAATCAACTCAGTGGCACTAACGACAACAACAACAACAAATAGCATTGTTTTGGTGGTCTAGTATATATTTTCATTATTTCACGCTGTCAAAAACTTGACTGAAATTTAATGAAGAAGATTAAGTTTTAATCACACTAATGTTCAGGATTTCCTGTAAGGAGTTTGCTTTTCTGCAAGCACTTCATTGGCAGGTAAACCTGTCAATTGCTTGTTTTTACAAGCTGAAGGAAATGAATGGGATTTGCTGGCTTGTAGAATCTACCTTCTTTCTCTATTGTGTCTGCCAAATAGTTTTATCAGAACACCTCAAAAGGGACGTTTCAGGGACACAATTAAGTCCTTCCAGATCTTTGGCCTCTCTGTTTATTTCTTTCTGACTTTGGATTTTTAAAAAAATGAAATAAAGGATCGTTTGATGCTACTATATACAACTTAATTTACCAAAACAAATTAACAAGATGTTCAATAAAATTCCAATTCATTTTCAGTTATCAGATGGTCACATGTATACTCATTGAAGCTGGCATTTTTTTAAAAACCTCTGCCAAATTTCTAGTAATTATTCCAGAATCCCAACCAAATGCCAAGCTCAATTTTGAATTAGATTAGTTTAGAGAAGAAAAGGGAGAGGTATAGCTTCGTCCTTCTTTATGCTTGTAAGAAGAAAATGCCACTATTGCTGATGACAGAACAGAGATCAGGGAGAAGAGGGAAGGCGAAAGGCTGTCATTGGATGCCTCTGAGTGATTGTCTATTTATAGAAACTCTGCGCATGATGATAGCAGAACTGCCCCATTGGGTTTCCCAGGCTGTAATCTTTACAGGTAGGTTCCAAGTGTCAGTCTCTTGGTTAGCAGCTCAAACTGCTAGCTCTTGCACCACCAATCCTCCTATGGGAGAAGAGAAGTAAAGCCGATTCCCAGTATGGTGGTGGTGGTGGTGGTGGTGGTTATGTGCTGTGGAGTCAGTTCTGACTCATAGCCACCCTGCATAGGGTTTCTGAGGCTGTACATCTTTACCGAGCAGAAAGCCTCATCTTTCTCCCAAGGAACTGCTGTTAGTTTCAAACTGCTGACCTTGAGGTTAGCAGCTGGACTCATAACCACTAAGCTAGGAGATTAAACAAATTTTACCTTGAAGGGATTTATTTATATACAAAACTCT